ATACACTCAGATGAGTGCGCCATAAAGAGAATACCAAGAAGGAGCAGATTGCAACAGGGGTACCAGGGTGGAGATGTAGGTGGTCAAAATACACACTAAGAAGAAGAAGCGCGCCCAGTGCCTAGAATACATAAGGAGAATTAGGTCGGAGTAGAATTTAGCGATTTCATCGCGTCTAGATCTATGGTATTCTATGTAAGCGGGATAAACAATCCTGTCTCTTGTTGGGTGGAGTGTTTTGATAGTAATCGTTCTTACACTGTCGTCGCGAAGTCTGAACGCTGCCTAACGGTGCATGTGAGAGAACTGCACTAACTGCAGGCACAACTAACTGCAGGCACAAGCAATCTGTTCCCGAAAAAGATCTGAAGACTTTGAAAACCAAGAAAAAACTCCCAGAAAGGCACGCCATCGCGTTATGACCAGTTCCTGAAAAACATGACCGTCGATGCTGCCTACCGCTTTCCCGATTTTCCCAACTTCCTACCACTTTTCCACTTTTCGCGAAAAAAATTCTGGTTTTCCTCCAAAATTTTGCTATCGAGTCGAGCGGGGGGGGGGGAGGTCGTCAGGATTAACTATCATTTTCAACTATCGGAAATAGTAGTTGTATAGATCTTTGGCAGTCCCTCTCCCAACAACGACCAAATACGACCCCCCCCCTTTATAGCGTCCGTGAAACAAGAGAAATCAACTATCAAAAAAATTTTCTCAGACCAAATACGACCCCCCTCCCTCGCGGTCAAATACGACCCCCGTTGTGATCATCACAACGATGGCGTGCCCTGCTCACAGACCAAGAATAAGTGTGACATACCTTACAGTGTAGTCTTCATTCATCCAACCAAATGCAAACAAAATATGAGTACAAAGGCCGGTGATGTAGTCTTCTGGCATGTACTTTCCTCTTCCATTTCTGAACAACAACTCAAATACTGATTTGCCTTGAAACGCTGTTTTTGTGTGACACTTGTTTACAGATTATTGATCGGTTCCTTATTTACTGGGTGCAGCTCACCTGTACTGAGCCCAGTTGGTGAAGTAGCACGGTCGAATATAATCGCTCTTCACAGGAGAACGTGCTTGCGTGGAATAATCGCGATGAATAATCTCAGTGGAATCTGAAAACATTCATGTTGTTGTTGTGTAAACCGTTTTGAAACCATAACATACAGTTTGAATCATTGAGAAAACAGCTTAGAAGGTTCTGCTACGCAAAACAATGCATGCAGTTTATCACTGTTTACCGTAATCTCCTTCGAGTGGTCACTTTGGAACCTCTAGACCGAAAAGGCGACCTTAGAGGGTCATGTCTCCTTCCCAAACTCTTAAAGACTTTTCGGTTCAAGGCTAAAGGCAGACTTCGCGAGCCAGGAAGGAAAGGAGAGGAAAAGTTGGTAGGTAGCGGGCTTAGGAACAAAAGGTCATGAGCTAGTTGACTTGTCCGTGGAGTAAAAGAAGAGTAAACAGTTGAACGCTCTAAATAAGGCCCTACTTGTTCGAAATGAGAGATATAGAATCCGACATAATATCGGGCGAGAGGCCAGACAAACAAGCGAGAGAGCACGAAGACG